ATTCAAGGGCAGGCAGTGCCCAAGCTCAGCCCAGCAATGGCTAACCCTTACTACTCCTGCAGCTGCAGTGTGTTGCAGGGCCGGGCTGCAAGATGCTGCTCTCCCTTCCGAGGTCATCCCGGGACAGCTCTGCACACATTTGGTGATCAGGCGCCACAGGACCTCGCTGCCAGCCCGCATAAGCACACACACATATGCCTCAACCAGCACCGAGCACCAGTGTCTCTGCTCATCCCCACAGCCCAAGACCAGCTCTGTTCTGCTCCTCCTGCACACGCTGCTCCCACCTCCCCAGCTCCACTTGTGCGAGCAAGCTGTATACATCTCCAGAGAGATGCACTTTTACATCACGTTTATTCACTGGCTACTTCAAGGGGGCTGAAGCCCCAGGGAAGCTCTCAAAGGGTTTGCTCTGGCACTGGACACACAGACCTCCCCAGTCTGCTTGTCTTCTTCTCTTGCCCCTGGCATGCCAGCCTGTAGGTGCTGGCAAACAGAATTTTGGAGCTCCTGCAGTTTGGTGTCAGCATATTGTTGAGCTCTGCTCTAACCAAACTCCAGCTTGGCTTCTGAGCAGGCTTGGAGGATGCCAAGGAGAAAAAGCAGAATAGTGCAGGATGCGCCCACTTTGCTAGCAGCAGGGGTGTCTGCCCTCCCCTCCGATCCCTGCCCTACCAGCAGAGCCACTGGCTCACAAACTTGGGATGAGCGACAGCTTTTCTGTTGCTGGTGGCACAGGAGATGAGGAAAATGCTGGTTGCCCCGCAGTCACAAGGCTTTCCTCCCCTCCCCATCCCCCAAATCCTGAGCACAAGGAGTAAAAATAAGAATGAATACAGCACCCAGTTACATAGCTACAACAGAAAAAAACCCTCAAAACCAAGCAAACAACCCCACACAGCCAAGCCAAATCCTGCTTTTACAGAGCAGCAGGCTGGGAACCACCCACATATTTGTCATTGTAGGCAAGAAATTCGGATGTCTCAGGAGGAGCCTACCTGCCAGATACACCGCCCTCACCCTGTCTCACCCCAGCCACCCCTCGCCGCCAGGAGTGGGGGTCCTGCCCCCCCCCCCCCGGCGGCGCCTAAGAGAGGGGGATACAGGCTGGGCTGTATGTTGGGGTGGCAAAAGCAGGGAGCAGGCAGCCCTATGACCTCCTCCTCTATCTGCACCAGCCACCCTGGTGTGGGGGAACAGAAGGGGCACATTCCTGCATGGGGGTGGCAGTGTGGGACACCCCCTGGGGGCTGCCATGAGCCCCCACTGGGGAGAGCACGTTTGACAGTGCCCGGAGCATGACTGATAACCTGCTGCTGTCTCCCACCACAGACCCCGCTGGCGAAGCCACCCCAGACCCGTATGCAGCCCGCTGCCATCCCTGATGGATCAACAACACCTCGCCTGCGCCTGACAGTGCTGGGGCATGGGGCTGACCCCCAGGAAAAGCACAGGGCTGCTCACTGCGCAGAGGCCACTCATGTTTACAGTCAGTGACAGTCACTGCTTACATAGCGCCTCGGCCCATCGAGAGATTCACAGGCAAAGAGCCACTCACACCATCGATATGCACTGGCCCCGCTGGTGGAAACTGGGATGGGGAGAGGGGGGGCAGGTGTCAGGGATGCCAACAGCTCTGGAGCCTGTAGGGGAGCAGCACTCCCCTCTGACGAACAAAGGGGAGGAAGGTTTCCGTCGCCTCCTCACGGCTGTACATTGCCCAGTGCAGGGCTGGGAGTAAAATGGGTGGGTCTGGCAATACAAGAACACACGCCATGGTGCTGAGCCTGCGCTCCTTGCCCCTTCCCCACACACCTCTGACTGCCTGGGGATGAAGGGAGGCAGCATGATGTGCCTCAGATGATCCCGCTTATGGGAAGGATCCCTGGGGGATCTCGAGGCAGTTGCAGATTCAGAACAACCTCTGCTTGGCTCTGACCTACTCCAGATGTCCCCGTGCAGCAGCCAGGGCTGCAAGCATGAGGGGTAGTGCAGAGCCCCTCCTTGGCCCCTATTTCCGCACTTCACGGCCCTGCCGAGGAGATAGCAGAAGCCTGGAGAGTTCATTTAGCAACTGAAGTCATTAAGGAATCACACTCAGTTGTCTCTGAGCCCTAACGAAGCCAATTCCCAACACTAATGATTGTTCTTCCTTACACTGTCAGCCACTAAATATAGCTGCCCATCCACTCAGCACACAGCGCTGATGTTATCTGCTCTGTTTTTACTGGCTCTGCTTCTCTCTGGAAGTTTTCTCTTGTATCGGTGGAAAAGTTCCCTGCTCAGGGAGATGGAAAAAAGAAATCCATCTTCTTAACTTAATAATTTTTCCACTCCCCTTTGCCTTCCGCCACACACACACACACACACACACTTGCCCTTCCTCGTTTATTGACTAGGACTCTTGTCTTAATAAAGAAATGCCTTCTACTGCTGCTGTCAAGTTTGTGGCTTGGAAGACTGCTCAGTGGAAACCTTATTTAATCCCTGAAGGGTGGACAATTTCATCTGGGTGCGCTGCTGCACTTATACCTCCAACCTGGCCAGGCACAGTCCCCTCTTCTTCCTGACAGGGAAGACTCCCCAGGAGCCAGTTTTAGAGCTGCACAGCAGAAATAAAAACTCAAAAGAAGAAAGAGCAAAAATCATCTGGGGAAGAAAAAGGAGAAAATTCTTTCCAGAGAGCCTCCTAGAGGGCTGCCTGCCTTGCTCTGCCATATTCCTCTCTGAAATCACTAACATTAACTGCTGTGGACAAGCAGAATAGCTGGGATTTTCATAGATGGCACAGATGAAAGCAAGTTTCACACTCATTTAATCTGAATGCCACAAAACCACTGTCAACCTCAATCTCTTAATTGCTGCCTATCATTTCTCCAGGAAGATATCCCTGTCTTGATTTCGGGATACTCAGTGTGGGACAATCCCAAAGGCAAATTCTCCCCAGTTTGCCTCTTGTGCTTTTTGGTATATATCTCTGATTTTTAACTGGGTATTTAGCTAACTCCTTGCTTCCAGTCACTCGCTATACCTTCTCTTTAAGGGTGAGATGCATCAACTCTCAAATGCAGCACAGTTTAAGCACACTTGACTGGTCTCGTAAGATCCCAACCCACTAGCTGAAAGATATTCCACCCACACAATTCTCTTCTTATTTGCCTTGTGATCCTGGAGCCTGGAAGGTGCGTATTTTCAGCTCTGCTCCCAAGCCAGGGGAGGAAGGGTTTGCTATTATTTTTAATGGCATCTTTCTTACTTTCTCAGCTTGTCGTGTAAGTGCAGGAGTGGGGTACAGAACATCTTGATACTTCCTGCGCAGTCTTTCCAGCTCAGCCAGTGCTAGGATGTCTTTGAGGAAGTTAGCAATAGGCAGGAGCTCTCTGGCACAAACTAGTGAGCTCCTATGTGAAGGGAAGGTGTACCCGCAGCAGCATCTGGCTGTGGTGCTCAGGGACTCTGCTGTGCTGGGCACACCAGACACTGTCCCTAGCAAACCAGTGGACCCTGGGGAATACGACGCGGAAATGGAGGCATAGAGGCAGCAGGGCATGGGGTGAAGAGAAAAAGAAATGACACGAGTTAGCAGGACTCTGGGATAGACCCAGCGGAAGGTTCAAACTGAAGATAACACGCAGGTTACAAGCCCCAAAAGATGAGGATGGCGTCTGCAAAATAGGCATCAGATCAGACCCAGAAAATTGTAGAGTGATGGTGTAAGTAAGGAAGAGTTGTGAGGCTTTGTCAGCTGAGAATATTGCAGCAGCTTTTCAGTAACACCACAAGCCTGAGTAGCAGATAAATACGCAGCCTACAAACAAGCAAACCCAAATTTCTAGTTGTTACAGTACGGGTATGACTGTAAAATACCATGTTACACCCTGCAGATGTCCCTCCCATTGGTAATGCTCCACAGCCTGCCTCACACACCAGGGACGGAGTTGTGTACATGACTTCAGTCTCAGTGTCTACTTTTCTTTTACTACCACAGCTCTCAATGCACATACCCACCAGAGACAGCTTTGCCCCACACAGAAATGCAGCTGTTTCTAGGGTAGAGCCCAGCCATATCTGACAGCAGAGTAGTGGATGGGAAGAGTACAAATGAGTATGAAGCTAAGGGGAGCCCTAAGTTTGCTCTTCATCACAACACAACCCCCAGATGCGCTCCTGAAAAGGCAGGCAGGAAAACAAAATCCAAAATCAAAACACGGGGAAAAAGCCTCAAACAGACTAAACTGATCTGCCCTGCAAAAGCAGACAGCTTTTCCCACCCCAGAGCAAGACAAAGAGCATCCCCGCTGACTGCTCAAAGAGAGAGGCAGTTTTTCTGAGTTCCTCACCTTTTCTCTTACTCTGTAGGTTTGATCAGACAAATGCCGGTTTCTGTCCTCCAGGCTAGTATTAAGCTATTAAATGCACCATTTCACCTTGTTTTCCTTTTATTGACTGTCACCTTCAGAGCTCCTCATGGCAGTTTGCGCTCCCACTTCTACCTCCCAACTCCCTTCCCCTTTCAAGCACACCATTCCCGCCCTCCTTTGCCAGCAGCTCAAACACCACCGCTGCCAGAGCATCTATAAACTAGAGAACAACCTCCCCCCAAATGAATGTAAGTCACTGCCACCTCATTTCACTTTTATTTGATTACTGGCTTATTTGTTTATGTCAGTTGATAACTACCCTTTACTCTTCAGCCTTCCCATTTTGGGCTCAGATGCTCTTCAGGAGGCTGGGTGTCTCATGATGGCGGGTGCCCTAATGCTATTGAGCCCCAAGATAGTGTGACTTGTCTGTTTGCCTGCTCCCTGTCACCTAGCAGGAGTCAGAGGGTGCCACCTCCTGCAGCAGAGGAGGTTTAGCACACACTTGCCATTTCAATGCTCAGAACATTTGCTGTTTGTACAAGCACGCACATTACTTTCCTTCGATGTAAAAGCCCATGCCAGCAGAAAGAAACCACTGAGAGAAATGCAGTTTACCTGGAAAGTAGGAGTTCTCACCTGGGAAAGCTGTGATGGGTTCTGCAAAGGAAAAAACCAAAACCTAGTATCAGAGAGGAGGATATTACAAGGGTACAGTTCATGTCTCTCAATTTGCAGAGGCCAAGTGGAGCAGGTGTGTGGCTGTGCCCCACAGAAGCCACTTGCTGGGAATAGAGCAGGGTGCTAGCCAACCTCACCAGGACAGGGAGAAAATCGCTCTCAGACATGTAATAAGCTTCAGACACAGACTTCAGAGAAAAACATGTCTGAGGATGAGGGTAATTTGGATTCAGCTGGCTGGCCTGAGTCATCCAAAGACAAAGCCCCAACTGGCCCAGTGATGAAACCCTGAAACCCCCTAAATTTCCAAGCGCAGTTTTGTTTCTGGCTCAACTCTGGCCTTGTTATTCACATGGGAACTGTGTTACTTCTACGCATTGATGCCATGCTCCTCTCTATCTCACAGCGACAAGAAACAAAGGCAAGCGCTTTTTTTCTTCTTTCTTTGAAGAAGTAATCTATTACAAATTACTGGATCTGAAAAGCAATAATTGGCACTTATTACTGATTACTTTCTTGCAGAAGTAATAGACTTCTGATTATTTTTAGATTACTTCTGCATTATGCCTGTGAGTCACAGAAGCAGACCCTGGCTCTACTGAGTGCTATGAAATCATCACTCAAGTTCAGAATTCGAATGACACATTTGTTAGAGGAAAAAATTATTGTGACTTATTAGCGTTCTTTCACGCTAAAAAGGAATCAGATTACGTCCCAGGATTAGATCTGAAAAAACAGTAGTAGCCTGTGCTGAAGTCAGCTATTCTCATGGCTCTGAGAGAGAGGGAGTAGCACTGTATCTCTACCGTTTCATTATTATTTTGGTTACATTGGAAATGACCCATGAGTTATATTAAAGTTTGCAGTGGGAGCCCTTTGTTAGAAATGATGTGAAACAAACTATCCTTATGGGCTTTAAGATTCCTATTCAACTTTCTGGAATGGGATAAATAATTTTGCGCAGCAGTTTGGTGTTATTTTTAGGGCTGGCAATGCTTGAAACTTTATAATTTACTAATGCTTTTGTGGCTTAAACCACGACAAAATGTTAAGCTTTAGGTTCATGAGGCCCAAGATACAGAAGCACTGGAGCTAGGTGAACTGCTGAGCTCAAAAGAAGGTAGATAGGAAATGTTATTAGTGTTAATCACCAGTCTTGCTTCTCTTTAATGCCGCAGAAGGCAAGGGATTAAAACACCACTGTCAAATCTTAAATACAGGGAATTTGACATATGGAACATTAGCTCCTTTGGCAGATGGGAGACCAACAGAGTTCAAAGCATCAAAGAACCTGGGACTGACGGTGCTCAAGAGCATCTCTGGGGCAGTCCTGGTCCTTTGTTCTATTATTAATACTGGTTCCTGCACCATCTTCACCATCACCTGCCTGCACAGGGTGGCAAGAGATGCGACCTGCCCTTGCCAGGCACGATTTGTCTTGTACCTCCTTGCCTGAGATACAACCCTTGGAAAAGAGCATCTGTTCCTCTTGGGTTAGGAGGCACTGGGATCCTCCCCTCCCCTGGTGGGGCAGAGGAGCTTCACTGAATGGGGCCTTTCAAAACCCAAAGGGGAGAGAGACTCTGCTCTCCCTGACTTTTTTCACTGACTTCAGGATGGGTCAGACACTTTGCGGGTGTTTAACACTGCAACTTGCCTCTCCCAGGTCACGCAGAAGTATAGGGCCTTGCTACTGTGGGCAGCTCTCAGCGCAGATCTCACTGATGGAATACTGCTGGTCCCATGCTCAACTGGGATGGCTCTGAATCCACATCCAAGCTAGATGGTGACCAGAGCCATTGGAGTGCATGGATGAATATGCCAGTTAGAGGAACAGGGTAGATCAACGGCTCCACCAGCAAACTGCTAAAACACACGTTTTTTGCTCTTTTTTTTTTTTTTAATATTTTAAAGTCCTCTCTTTCACATTGAATGAACCCACCTGGCTTTTGGCCTGGTTCGGTGAATTCTAGGACAAAAATTTCTTTTGTTGCTCTGTTAACATTACTGTAAAACCCCTCTGCTATTTTCTTTCTTATTAGAGAAGATTCCTTTTGAACTCTTTGCCCCCTCTAAGCGTGTAATACTGACAGCTGGTTTCTTTTGTTCAGCACGTCCCTTTTAAATGTGGTGTATGCCCTTATCACGTAGAATAGTCCTCGGTAACCCTCAACTGCTCTTCCAGCTTTGCGTGGCAGCGGCATGTGCTTCTTGCCTCTCGCACCAACATCCCCCGTCCCACAGAGACTGAGTCCCCCTCATTTCTTTCATGAGCAAGCAAAGTCCCAGCTGAGATCCAGAAATTCCAGTACCAAAGCAGGGGAGAGGTGGCCCATGGAGCCTGCACGGGAAGGCTCTTCAGCCCCCCCAGCCACCCCTGGCCCCTGTGGCCGGATGCAGCACGTACCCATGCAGTTCTCCAGCGGGATGTCGGTCCCCAGCCGGATGTCATCGAGGGCGAGCTCTCCCGAGTAACCACTGCGTATAAATCCCTCAAACACAATCTGTGAGAAACCAGAACAGAAATGTCAGTGCTAAGCTGGGAGGCACAGAGTGGCTGCTACTCCTGAGGGAAAGGGCAGGAAACCTGCTCCTGGCTTTCCCTGCACACCTGCAGATGACCTGAGACTAGATCTACTTCCTTGCCCTGCCTCTGCCACCCTTTCCCCAGGGAAAGCTGCTCTGCAGGGATAGGTTCTGCAGAGAGATCGTAACCTGGCCTGGCAGCACCTGGCTTGCAATTTATGCAGTTAAATGCCCCTTGCATGGAACAGAGACTCAGTGAATCTATGATCTGCATTGCAGGCCACCCCCTGGCTATTGCACAAATGATGCAAGTGGCGCATAACACTGACTTAGAGCAGCAGCAGATTTGGCCCGTGGTATTAACTGGACTATGATCAGAAAAAGGAAGGGAAGGACGCAAAATGCACGACTACATTAACTATAAAGTGTTGTTCCCATTAATATTACATAAGAAGTATTGAAATGTTAGAGGAGAAGGGTCAATTTATTCCTACTTAATCACAGGCAAAATATATTTACAAAAATAAATAGAGTCGTTAGCTCTAAGAACTGCTGAGTGGAGAGACTCGCATATTTACATAATGATGCTGTTATTTAGCTAATGCTGGCATATTCACATTTAATGCACAAACTAGTCAGCCAGTGCCCATCATTCTTATCTGTAGGCATATTGTGTTTACTGGTATTTTATTAAAAAGCCAAACATACATGTGCAAGCTAGTCATACAGCTCCAGTGCAAAGCTTTTGCTGTATATCTCCATGCCTACTCTCGAGGGTCCAAATAATTTCCTAGGGCTATGTATTTCGCGAACCTCCTCCCCCATACTAGGTGACCCCTTCCATCTGGGATGCCTGAGCAGCCCAGGACACCTCCCTATCAGTATCTGACTATGCAGGATACAGAGTGTTAGAGCTGTTGGTCCCAAGCTCAAGTCATCAACCCACATGGGAGGCAGCAGCTTGAAGGGGTCAACGTCCTGACAGCAGCAGCTCCCCGGGTCAGGGTCAGGGCTGGAAGCTGGCTGGAGCAAGGCTCCCTGCAGGGGTGGTCATTGAAGTGCTACCTCAAGCCTGAAAGTGTTTCCTTCTGCTTCAGAGGGTGCTGGATGCCGTGCTGATGCTCATTAGCAGTGACAACAGTAGTCCAGGCTCCCCAGCAAACGGCACGCTGCCCGGAAGGGCTAACCATGCCAAAGGCACTCCTGGAAGCAGCAGCCTCTCCATGGGGTGCTGGCACAGCCGTGCCAGAGGGACTCAGGCGGCTGCAAGCAAGCAGCACAGCTCCCTCCAGTTCACCCCTTCCCTTCCACTGATCTCCTGACAGCGCTGCACCCAGCTCTCTGATCTGGTCTAATAAGGTATCTGAGAAATGGATTCACGGAGGCTGGGGAAGGGCTGTTTGCTGCCTACCGTTAAGAGCTGGCCATGCTCCCTCCCAGCTACCCACTTCTCCTGGCTGCAGGGTTTGGGTTTGCTCCCTGGAGCTGTGCCTCTGGTCAGACTATCTGATGACCATCAGCTGGGAGGGTGGGAAATACACAGAACAAATTGAAACAAAAAAAGAAAGGAAATATTTGCAAAGTGGGAGACTTGAGGAATATAAAAGGCAACAGGCTGAACAAAGGCCCAAGTCTGTGCAGAAGACAGGCACTCTCTGAATAACAAACAGTGTCGTTTAGTTACTATGGTAACTTGAGAAACATAATGAAAACAGCCACATTCCCTAATGATGAATGGGCCCTGGCTCTGAAACACTGAAATAAAGATGCTGGAGATGCCTGCCTGGTCCAAGACACCTTTCCCTGAGCATCTTACCCGGTACTCCATGTCGTAGCTTGGCAAGATGATGCGGCCTTCCCTCCACTCCTCCCCTTGGTCCTCCATGATGACCCACAGCGCCTTGTGCTCCTGGCTGGCTTCCCGCCAGACCCGTAGCATCACTCCATTGCTGCCCCATGCCTGGTACTGGAAGACCATGCAGACAGCACTCCGGGGCAGATAGATGGTGGGGCTGATGAGCCGGGCTCGCTGGCTTTCCCTCCTTCCACTGCTCTGCAGCTGCAGGTAATTCTTGCCATCTGGTACAAAGAGGAAAATGCCATTATATTATTTTCTGTGGCCACTTGCAACAAGTGTCTCACCTCCTGCCAGGTAGCTTTGGCAGCACTCTCACACCCATGCCTGCAGGAATGGTGTCTCACGCTGGCATCTACTGTGTGCACAGCAAGTTGTGCCACTGCTGCGCCCCGGGCAGGGCATCGAGGAGCATGCTTCCCTCACCAGGGTGTCTGTCCCAGTAGGAGACCAACAGCAACACCAGAAAGCAGTAAGCTGAAGAGCGACATAATTAGGAGAAATTAAAGAGTAGTTATTGTCAGAAGAAGCAGTGCCATAATAATGACATTGGCAGGGGGGTGTATTTATTCTGCTGGGAGCTCGCTCAGTGAACAAGCCTGAGGTGGGTTTTTCTAACTGCCGGCACTGAAAACTCATCTTGGGATGGCGATCTCAAGCTGTGTTCATCCTGCCTCTTTTCATCCCCAGCAGTAAATACTCCACAATCAGGATCTAGCTGACAATTTTAAGGATATGCACGACAAAATGAAAGCCTGGCTCTCAGTTTTTGTGTAGTCTAGCAAAACAGCCCCTAAAGCAGAGCACAGAGGAAGAACGTGGTCCCAAGTGAAGTACACAGGTGACAACTGGGTAGCTGCAAACTTGAAGGTAGCTGAAATACATACTGCAGGGATTCACTTGCTTTAATATTACATTAAATTGTGCCATGCTTTTTGTCAGTCCTCAGGGAGGAGATTCAGTACGTTTGATATCTCAGGAGAAGTTCAAGGCTGAGACTGGAACTGGAGATACTTGATATGAATACCAATAGCAGCAAAAGCCGATAGACACAAATCCCTGGGCAGGAATGAGTGGTTTCCAGCCCTCTCCAATGAGAAGCCTCCTCAAGGAGTTTCCCATTTTCAGCTTGAATGCCTGAAGTCCCTTAGCACAGACTGAAAGCCAAGCGTCTAGCTGATGTGATCCTTACCTGTCCCCTCCATCATGTCCAATGGCCAGCTGGAGTCCCTGGGGTTGCTCCATCTGCAGTGCCTGCAGTACTAGGCAACAGAGACAGGCCAGCAAGATACTGCTGTATTCTGCATTTCACTCAACAAAGGCATGAATGTGCTTCTCTTGCTACACAGTCAGCAAATGTCACTGGTGCTTCATGTCAATTCTCCTGTAGCCAATGAGGGGTATGTCTGCCCCAGGACCACACCTAAGGGTCTGTCACTTCCTTTCCTCACATCTTAGCCTGCTGCGCTTGATGGACAAAGCTCTGAGCAGCAGTTTGCCTCCTGCTTGCCCTGCTCCCTCTGTGGCTTCAGTGCCCACAGCAATGGCAGATGAGCAGTGTCTGACCTGAGAATTTTGCAAAGTGCATCCAAACCACCCAGACCAGAGACCTGAATTTAGAGCTCCTGAGCATGGAAAGACAGGTGCCACCCAGAAAACAGCAGCTGACCTCGCTGCCGCTCAGCAGTCCTGTAACATCCCAGACCAAGGGAAGTGTATCAGTGGTTGCACAGCCGGTGGCCCTGCCTCAAGTTTGTCACTGCCAGAGAGCTGGGCTGAAACCAACCACCATGAGCTATACAGCTTTCTAAGATAAATTTAGGACAGGACAGCAGCAAGATTTGCCATCACTCTACTCCTGGGATGTATGACCAAGATGTTTCAGAAGTGTATCCACTCCATATGAACTTTCAGTGATTGTGCTGTGTGAAGGACAAATCTGTCTCTGACCGGCCACAAAAAGAAAGAGCAACATTTTCCAGCAGTATTTTCCAGCACCTATCCCTATGTACCTGGGCCACTTGGCACTATGCCAACAAGCAGTAGCAGAAAAAGAGATGAAAGCGTGTTTTCCCACTCCTGCTTGAGTGAACCACTTGAAAAAGTACCATGCCGTTCTCTAATGGAGGAGTGTTCTTGTGATTTACCTCAGAGTGGTAGTGGTGGAGGAGATGTGGGAGATAAACAAGTGGAGGAAGGAAAAAAAAAAAGAACAAGCTGTACTCCATGCTTAAGGAGCGATAAGGCATAATAAGTCATCAAGGTCTCCTGAATTAAAATCCTCTTTTTGTAATTCAGTACAAGCCTCTTCAAGAAAAAAGCAGCAACAACAAACAAGGTGGAAGAGCAAATCAGACTGTGATCGTACAATTATCTCACAGCTGAAATGGTCTCACAGGCAAATCTTTAATAAAAGCACCACCCAGGCTCAAGAATAATCAAATCCAGATCCACAAAGTTCCAGACCGACCTTGGGTGCCAGTATTTAGGCAGCCTGCCTGAGTGCAGGATGTGAGCCATCCCTGGATCCACCCAAAGCACTCAGATGACCACAGGGGACTGTGTTTATTGTGCAGCTGGACATGCCCCACAATCATCGCCTCTCACTGGGAGCTGCTGGTACCCAGTGGTGTTGCCTCTGCCACTTCAGGAAAAGAGCTTTTGTGCCTCTGAGCCACCAGGGATGGCACCGACGTTTGTTCCCACTCCTATCAGGCTGTGATGACAGAGAAACTCCTAACTGCAGTCAAAACCGATCCCCCCTCAATCGCACAGTATCTTTCAGAGCCACAGGAGCCCTGCCATGTCCTGCATCTCCTGTGCTCCCTTCCCAGGGCTTGCTGGGGCCCACAGAGCTCTCCAGGACCTACCGACACTCCCAAGGGCTGTGGGAGGCTGTCTTCAGGTGACGAACCCAGCTGCTCCCCTGCAAGTAGCAGTGAAGGTTTGGGCACCACATGCTCCCGTTCCTAGTACCAGTTTCTGGAGTGGAGAACTTGAGTGCAAGTAGACATGTCTTTCTGCATCATTTGAAGATGAACTGGCTGGATCACTCTAATGGCTAGCTGGACCTTCTGAAAAGCCCTGCAAATTTGCTGAGACTGACTGAACAAGGGCACTGTGGAGCTAATTGTTGGAACAGCATGTGGGAGCCTGGTTGTTCCAGTAGCTGCTCTGTTTGATACAGTAAATGGAAGTGTTTGGCACGGAAAGTACCTGAAAAGCTGATTTCCCCTACTAAAACACTTGAAGGGAGCCTTGCAATGATGAGCTGATCAATTCTTCCAGGATCAGAAATACATTTTAATCTCTTTCCCAGAACTTTGCTTTGCAGCCTCTATTCTAGATAACACTGCAGCTACATCCCCCACCGAACTGGCACTGGCAGTTCAAAGTGCTGGCTCAAAAAAGGCAGGACAAACCTGCCTCAGGCATTTTAACCTACCACTGTTCTTGCAACTGATGCTATGGCATAAATCTCATGGAAGATTTATAGGATCATCTGGATGTAGGAGAGCCAGAGGAGCGTGAACACACAACCACCCCAGCCAGATGATGGCAGAGTCACTTGTATGTGCATGGCAGCGAGTCACAGATAAATCACCAGCCGGGCTCTGCAAACAAACCATCTGGCCAATGTGGTTTCCTCTTGGCATACCCTTACCCTCCTGCTAGCAAGCCATCTGAGAGGACATTAGGGGCAGTGGGGGATGAAGCCTTGTGGTCTGGGTCAGGCTGCAAGCATGAGCTATGGCAGATGCCCTCTCTGCAAGGTCAGCCTGCCTATGCTTGGATCCTGCATGGCTCAACTCCTCTCCGAAGAAAAGCACCTTCCCTCATCGATCTCAGCAGCACATCTGGAGGTCTTCCAGCAAAACATGTCGGGCACGATGTACACAAGTAATTACTGAGATTCCCCCTTGCATCTCCCCCTCACCGGCTATCATTGAGTTACAGCTGCTGCTGCTCCTATGGAGGACCCACACTGAGCTGTCTTCACTTATGTCACTGCACTCTTCTTCATAGCAGAGTTTGTTTCATGGCGTGTTTTAGTGGCAGCACCACACCCCAGTGGCAGCCACCTCCTGTCTACCAAATCCCATAGGTGACACCTCTGCCCTGGGCCCTCTCTGCTGCCCGCACAGTCCCAAATGCCACCCCAACCATGCTGTGTCAGGACCAAGCAGGGCCTGATCCTGCCATTCTGGAGCATGTGACCTGGAGGTTCATCAGCCCTTGCCTTTCCCTGGGTGTGGATCAGCTCAGATCCCCTCACGACTACAGGATGCTCTGGTAGCAGGGGGATGGCAGCTGCATGAATATGCAGATTGAAATTGGATAGTTATTATATTTTTAATTTTTTGGCAAGTCATGCAAATTCACCTCAAAAGGCTGCCACAATAATTTCAGTGACAGGCCTCTCCTCAATGACAGACTTTCATTTATGAAGGGAAATCAATCCCCCGTAGAACTAATATTTATATTAACTAGATCACTGCATCTGCTGGAAAATCCCCTCGATTTTGATTATGTGTTAATTAGCCTGCCAAGTCCTTGCCATTTCACTCTCTAAATCAGTCTGTGAAAAGGCATAAAACCCCACACCTGCCCAGAACCAAGCCCCCAGCTTGCTCTCCGGAGCCTTTCTAATGGACGAGCCATTACATCCTCTCTCTTAATTAAGCCTCACATCCTCAACAGCGTGGCACAGTCGTGAGTCCTACTGCCTCCCCCCGGGAGTGCAGGGAGGGCACAGTGTCCCTGACAAACCAAATGCCAATTAGAGCCTGACATTTGTGCTAAGTGAGCTTCTTGCCACTGCGCCGCATCCACCGCCAGCCCGGCGGGCACCCTGCATGCCCCTACATGAAAGGGTGTGCGCAGACCCACCCGCACCCAGCATCTTGCATGGACAATTAGCGGCATTAACCGAGGCAGTGCTTCCAGCGCGCACCGCGGCTTGCTCGTGTGCACACATGCTTTCCTGAGCCAGGCTCCGTGACTCACAGGCTGCTAAGTCACTGCTGTGAAGCGATGGAGTGATGCACATGCTAAGATCTGCGAGACAGTATCTTGCTTTGCAGAGAGCATTCCAGCCGGGTTTTATAGGCAGTGTGTGTCACTCGTGTTTGGGTCCAAAAAGTGACTCTCTGCCTACAGCCCAGCCCCAGCGAGTGGGAGCTTTGCTGGCAATGCAGGGATAGACTGGGGCCATGCACCTTCGCTCATAACAGACAGTATGGGCATGAGGATGGCCACATCCTGGTCACATCCTGGCCCTACCCTGCAGCCAGGGCACTTGCAAAGCCCAGCCAATGTTCAGCAGACTTCCCTGGATTTGGGTACTGGGGCATCTCAGCTCCACCATGCTGCAGGCAGCCAAGGCATGAATGACTTTAAGGTTTGCTGTTCCTCCACTGTGCAAACCACGGTCAGGAGAGCCATGTACAGCTTTGCCGAGAGGCAGTCCCAGCCACGCATGTGGTGTGGTGCAGATTGCTGGGTATGTGGTCTCCTTCCCACAGCGTGCAGCTGCTCACTCACTGCACAGAAGTTCTTGACTTTCACACCACCCCATATGCAAAGCTCCCTCCTACTTCAAAAGAGGCAGGATTGACCCTAGGGGTCAAAATGTGTCCCCAAGGCACAAGCTCTAAGAGTAAGTCTCATGAGAGTAAGTGCAGACCCAGTTCAGTCCAATCCTGCTCCATTAACAGCATGAAAACCTTTCTGCTGGTTTGGACAGAGTAGGATCAAGGCCTTTAAGCAGAAATTCTCATGAATGGCAGGAAAAATATGAAACTTTCCCTTTTAAAGATCCCACAGGAAAAACACCGGAATGGTAAAGGGTTACCATCAGTGTAAAAACAGCTCAACATTTGTTTTCCTTAAAAAATAAGGTCTTACGAAATTCAGAGCACTACAAACATTCCTCTGCTGGAAACGCTTTGAAACAAATAAACCTTTCCCTGCAGCGCCTGCAACCCGAATGAGCAGCATTCCTGACCCTCAAAGCCAGCGAGGCCATGGCCCACAGCAGAAGCTCTCGGTGGGTTTTGAAGCCCAGCCCAAGAGTCATGTGGTCAGGAGAGCTGCAAGGTTAAAACTGCTTCCTTTTCTGCGTGCATGTACAGCTGCCAACATCCAAACAACACAAGGTTCACAATGATGCCAGAGCCCTGACCCTGTCACCGTGCTCACCCGATCAAGAAGCAGTGTGTGGTAGAGGTGCAACCTCACAGTGCTCTCCTAGGACCACAGGGTATTTACTTAATGACTACAAGAAAAGGGGAGGGGGGGAAAAATGGGCAAACCAGCAATTTCAGCTTTGCAGTGCTGTCCTAGTAGCGTAGCATCAGTGAAAACAATGCAGACGCACCTACCAGCTAAAGATATGAGCCAGGGTTTTTACACCCTTCAGGATCAAGACCCCGGTGAAGAGTTGTGGTGCTCAACTTGCCAACCCAGATTTATTTTCAGGTCTTAAGACCTCTGTCTTGACACCAGTGGCACATTGCCACTGCGTGCAGCAGGATGCAGGGATGAAGCTTCATTGAAACCTGAACTTGTTGCTCCTTGAAGTGTGCTAGGTGCAGTTAAGGGGAATCTTTCTACAGACGGGAAGCATCTGAAAATCCACAGAGGGAAAAATCCTGGCAATCTTGTGGGGGCATGGAAAAGGGAGCAACAGTATTTTCTAGGCTTGCAAAAAGCGGGGTAACAGCTGGAACCATGCTGGGTTTATGCTGAGTTGAGCACTTTTGGTCCACGTACACCAGCGGGGTACCCAGACATGTAACGGGAGCCTGCAGGAGAGGACGTGGTGTGAAGAGCCCAAGGAACACAGGGCTAAAAAAAGAAATGCAGAGCTGCCTGAAAGAGTATCTTGGAAATAAAAATAGTGGAATGAGAGCAGTGGGTGTCTTGTCAGTCTCGAGAAGTTCGCCATGCCAGAGATGAGGAGGAATTGCATGCAGCGCATAAAATGAAATTGGGAGATATCTGAGGAATTCAGGCCTGACTCTCAGCAGACTTTTCTAATCAAGTGCCTCACAGAGGATATTTCACCATGGTCATTTCCTCCCCCCTTTCTCTCATGCAGACTGAGCCAGGCTCCTCCTTTCATTATTATTTTTTTTTTCCCCTTTTAATTTCAATTTTTGTTTTGCCATTTTCAGAAGAAATAGAAACACCTCCCACATGGCTCTTAAAGGCACAGCACATTTCCTTGCTACCATGGAGCAGCCACGGCCTCTAGCCCAGGCCAGCACCTTTAAATCAGAGTAAATTGGGCTCCAGCAGCTTTGAGTTCCCGTTAGCTTTTGCCCTGCCCCTAAACCAAGCACAGCTGCTCTCCTTCACCCAACTGCTCACCCCAGGGTGGGGAATTCACAAGAAAAGACCACCCTGAACAAGGGCTTTTCATACTTTGCTCCCTGGAGTCTGAGGATGTATTTTCTAAGTAGAAACAAAGTGCTGGAGGGAGTGCGAGGGAAAGGCAGGGGAAGAATGGGGGAGTGTGAACCGAACAATGCTTCGATTCTGTCCCTGCCGAGGGGCTGGCATTGCCTCTTTTTCATGTTTCTCAAGTTGCTTTTAAAAGCTGTGTGGGGAGGAAAAAAGCAAATAGTTGTTTCCTTTTGTGTCACATCTCCTTAATTTCTAAGAGCAGACCAAAGCGAGGCGCAGCAGTGATGCCTTTGCATGTCAGCCCTTCTGCAGCCCTGTTCTGTGTGGGCAAGGCTGCAGCATGGCAGTGCCAACAGCCATCCTTTAGCCTGTGCTGGTGTCTGCTGCTGACTTCTTCCACCACCATGGGCGAGTTACTTCAGCCCCCTGGAGCTGCTACCTCCTCCTCTTCCTCTGCCCATACAGCCTGTGACTTGCCAGGTAGGGCTGAGCTCAGTGCCTGCCTCAACCTCATCGGTGCTTCAGTGTCCAGCTCAGCACAGCACTGTGAGAGAGACCCGGCACAAAACTAGATCACTGAACTCAGTAGGAAAATGTTCCCCAGCTGCAGTGATGAGGTTTTGCAATTCATAACTAACTAGGAAAGAGAAGAAAGGGTTTAAGAAGGGTAAAAACCAGAACTGCATGCTGAGCTGTCTGAGGCAGCACTAGCCTCTCCTGGGCTGTGCATACACATGCGCACGTACACAGTCTTCTAAGAAACTGTGGCCAGCTAATTGTAGGGAGACTCAGGGGAGAGGAAATGAAATGAAAAATTGAGTCTGAGTTATAAAAATAAGTAATTTTTATCCTACTTGCAGGAGGCTTATATTAATTAAACATTATTACAGCGAATGAGATGGGGAGGGTTATTAAGTCTGGGCCTGGCTGTAAGTGTTCTCTCCTGTTGCCTGAGGCTCCACTGAGCTCCAGATATTAATCTTCTAAAGCACTCAAATGCTGAAGAGATAAACACTTGAAATATGAAAATATTTTTCTCCATAGCAGACACTGTGTCCCTGTGTCACGCCAAAGAATTTGTCAGATGTCCATATAGGCTTCACTTACAGCATTACCATGTCTCTTAGAAAAATGCCGAGCACCTCAGGAGCCGAAGAAAGAAATGATGTGTGCATTTGTGTGGGGGTGATTTGTGTGTGGAGATGTAGCAGATTCTCCTCTTCCCATATGTTTCTGGAATACATATTTTCCTCTTTAGCACTGCCTACCAGGTGTTGGCTGCACAGCTTTCCAACTGGCTGGCGGCACTGCCAATCTGGCCAGCGCCTCTGCCAGGTGGCTAACAGGTTCGCCTGCACGTTTTCCTCTCAAGACTCAGCCTTACTGGGGGAGGGCACAGAGGAGCCCACAGCATTTCATGCCTCCCTGGGCACATGGCATGCAGACGCTGGAGTCAACAGGCATCGGGGCAGAGCTGAAGATAGGTAAGAGCAGCCAGCTCTCCTTGGGGGAGCCTTGAGTTTCATAAGCAATGACTGATAGTGAAGTGATGCTGTGGTGACACAGCCTACTGTTACAAGGAAACTGGGAAATGTTCTTCGTGCCACCCGTGCCACAAAGTCAGTGCAGGTAAAGAAAGGGCACTAGTCCCAAGGTGAGTTCCAAAACGTGAAGCTGAAGAACTTGATCTATCAGCCACACTGCCAAAGGCAGGCTCCCTTCCAACCCATGCCAGCACATCTCAGTGAGGTCCGCCATAAATTAGGCAAATCTTCTGCTTCCAAAGTACAGAAGAAAAAAAGAGCAAAAGTCAAACAGCAAGAAGCTGGCGTATTACAGCATTTTTAGGGCTTAGCTCATCCTTCACTTGGAGAAGGCTGAAATCCAGCCTATGCAAGCCCAGAGTACAGAATAGCTGAAGACTATAAGCAATCCGAGCAACATATGGGAGGAAGAAATGTATCTCTAACGAAAGAGGAAATGCATTCTGGGGAAAAAGCCTTGGGTCCTATGTGGAACAAAGCCCAGGCTAACCTTCACAGTCACAGGGGATTCAAAGCCCAGTGTCTGACTCAAGACTATCTCAAGAGGATAGTAAGTATAATTCAGCGCCAGTGGTCACACTCCTATAAATAAGTCATGAACCATATAGCAAGGAATCTGAAAGCTTCACAAAAGAAAATGTTCAGCTCTGCACAGCCTTCACAACTCTTGATAGCTGTGCAATAATCAGTCATACTGTTCAGATGGAAAAAGCCCCATTAGCTCCCTCTTCCCTGCTTTGATATTAATCATCTTACCAGGCACAGTCTCAGGGCTTGGTTCAGAGTTGCCAGTCCAAGTGCTTGTAGGCTGTAAAGACCACGTATAACCCGTTGCCAAGTCATGTGACCAACCACAGAGGTCTTCAGGAAGATCAAAATTGCAGTTGAAGTTTGCAGGGAGGTGGAAATCTTATAAAAAGAAATAGAAGCAAAATAAAGTTGGATTAAAAAATGACCTACCCATGAAGAGCTGCTATTAAAAAAACAACCCAAAACTAAAATAGCTTGCAAGCCATAAATACTGAAGAAAGCATGAAATCTTATTCACACTGATGCTTTTAACCTATCTCACATTTCGTCAGCTCCAGGGATCAGCCTTAAGTTCTGCATCATCAAAATGCTCACCCCACGTCCTGTGGCTAATCCACCAAACTAAGCAAATATAAAAGCAAGTACCAAACGCTTCCAGACTCTAATCAGCACCTTCTCTTCATCCCCTAGAGCGGTCAAATATTAAATGCCTTCTTAAATGTCAGGGAAGAGTGCTTCCTGAGTGCCCTGTGCTCATCAGTTCCTGCTTTGGCGCCAAAAAGAGAATCTCAAGTGCTCCAAAAACCCAGCTCCTGAGTGACAGATCTAGCCACTTGCACCAGACAGGAGCTGTCTGTCAACGTGGTGAGCTGTCACTCACCACTTCCTACCTTCTTGTGGAAATGCCACCAGGGGAAATGTGAGGCCACCATGAGCTCAAGGTTTTGGATTCTGAGTGAAAGAAGCCAGCCTCTATTTCTAGCTCCACTATGGACTCAGTACATGGTCTTTGGGGAAGTCATTTAACTTTTCATCTGTGAAACAGGAGCAGAACTAATTCCCCAGTGTCAATAGCTTTAAAAGCTCTGGACAGCCTTCCTGCACAGACAGGTCTGTAGGCAGGAGGGCACATGCCAAGGGCTGCATGTATCAGCGAGGCAGCTGCTAGCTCCTTTGGTTGGGGAAGAAGCCATAAGGCACAGAAACGGTCTGAGATCATTCCAAGCACTCAGTAGACATGCATGTCACAGCCCAATTACAGGCTGGGTTTTTCCTGAGCAAACAGGAAGTTTTAAATCACAGTGCCCACATCGTGAGTGGTAGCCAGAAGGAGGTGAGTGACTCAAGAGATAGGCATCAGGGGAACTTTGCTGTGAGGAGCAGAGGGCTTTCTTCACATGCTCCAACTCTGAAATAAAACAATGGAGATCATGGATCCTTTTATTCCAATCTAATCTCATACCCTGGAGAGAAGCATTGTTTCTGTTTGGCTGTCATAAATCTGATTGTCCAGAGAAACACATTCATTGTTTATGGAGTATGAGAATGAAAATTGTTGCTAAATCTAAGGGAAGCTGATGGGGAGGCTGGTTCCACGCTCCACGGCATACTCTACTCGCTCTCTTGCCCTGGACTGCGCCCAGGAATCATGTTGTTGCAGAAAATATTACTGGCCTAAATATCCTCTTGGCAGTTTCCCAAGTGCCTCAATGGTAGCAGGGTTGCATAGGCTTATTACTGAGGCAAAGCAACAAGAATCAGGCCCTTTAAGCTACTTCTGTAACTTGCATTTCCAGAACTGAACTACAGCAGAATCCTGATGGGACATGTGAAAAAGCCAATTATCATCCTTTTAAAAATTTATTTATTTAAAAACCTTTTTTTTTTTTTTTTCTCTGGGACTGGAAGCTGAAACGACAGAAGTCCTAGGAGTTATCTCAAAGGATAGCCTTTCCTCATGAGATTTCTTGTTGAAGTCCCAGTGTAAATGCCCCAGGCCCAGTGCTGAGGCCCAGGCTCTGCTGTCCTGCCCAGGGGCATGCACCCCCTACACAATGCACTGTACATCTAACCCTGCACAGCTCTGCTAAGCCCTCTCCCCTTAATCTGCACATTTCACAAGCTTTAGATGGTCACAACCCCCTTACAAGGAGCGGAAGAATATAATGTCTGCTTCTACAGGCAGGAATCTGAGGCAGAGAAGATCAGTTTTCCCCAGCATTGGCTCTTAGCATGTAGTCTAAACTAACATTCAGCCTCTTCTATAGTCATAAAAGGCAGACAAGCACCACAGATACCAAGCCATTCCCATATATCTGATGGCCATCTAAGGCTGAGAGGACAGTCTCCTGCCTGAAGTTAGTGTTCCCCTCTCTCTGCTGCCTGCACAAGGAGCCCAGACTGTCCTCCTGAATTTTAAACAGCTATTATTAGGGAAGATGATCCTTAACATATAGATATTCAGGACATCAGCCTTCTCTACATGTTGTGATTTACTCCCACAGTTGTGACCACTGCAAAGAGAGCCCTACATACCAGGCAGTCTGAATCTCTCCCCTGAATCACATTCTGAATTTATGACACCCAGCCAAGGGGATCTGGAATGGAGATGGTTCTAAACAGGGCACTAAGTGAGTTTCTTCAGGTCACGTAAGGAGGCTGGGAGAGCAGCTCTTCAAGTCTTGTACCCTACGGACTGAATTAGCTGCTATCTCTTCCTCTTGCATCCTTCCTTGATATAACTTATCAGATTTTGGCAGGGTTTGTTTGTGATTTTTTTAAATCTTGGCCTATCACTAATAATATTACTCTAAGCTTTCCAGGAATCAGCCCCATGTATAGGAGCTAATGGGAAGATAAGAGTATTTGCTTAGCTCTTAACTCATCATCTACTGAGATAAAGATGTGCTGTTCAGATACATACCCTCCTCTTCCCCACAGCTATCACCACACTCAGTTGCTTCTTCATAAGTTGGATATGGGGTGGTGGTCTCTTCACTCTTCAAAGTGGGCACCAGTGTCTCTGCAGTGGGCTTTACATCTGAAAAAAAAAAAGGAATAGAGATGCTATCTGCAATAGACAGTACAAAAAGCCTAGGCAGGAGGAAACAAAGCAAAAAATCTTTTTCTTATGTTTTATAATGGCAGGAAGAGATAGAACAAGAATACCATGAAATTTCCACGTGCTAGAAATGTCAGCACAGTTTGAACTTCAAGTGAACCGTCTGTTTCCATATGGGAGTTGCTTTGATTTAGAGTTCCCTTTGGACAAGGCTCTCCTCTAGACATACATGCTACTTTTTCCTCTTAATTTTTTAATGTATACGGGTGTTGGCAATCCGCTTAGCTGTCATTGCTGGGTAAGAGAGATCACAGGCAAAACGCCTTTCTGTTTCAGAAAGGCACATGACATATTAAAAACAACACACACAACATTCCCACCAATTGTGCCAATTTACAAAACAAGTCACTCAAACCCACAAATGATGTAACCACAAACGGACCCCGAGGATCCCCTAGTGCGCTCTGGCTCGCTGCAGAAAGCATCTGGTTTCACACTCCGGGCTCCTGACTACGCTTTCAAAGGGTCTCTGTCCAATTTCCCTCTCTCCAACGCAGCCTGTGTGAAACAACCTCCAAGCAGGTGTCAGGGGAAATTTAAGCAAGAAAGGGAAGGATATTAAGATCAACAGTAAACGACATTAGGTTCCAGCAGGCTCTCCTTTTATGGGTGCATTAACTGGGGTACAGCAGGCTTGATTCTTTCCGTTTTTAAAAAGAGGCTGCTTCGCTCAGTTGTGTGTGATTGTGTTTCTTTGTTGGCACCCTTCAGGATATCATTTAATAAAGCCAGAAGCGGGAGGAAATGGCTAAATACATTGAATATTTTCCATAGGCTCCTTTCTGCCCTTTTATTTTCCTGTTATTAAACATGTTGCACATAAACTCTCAGGGTTTTTTTTTTTACTATTTTTTTTTCCCCAGTGGCTGTCTTTTGTTCAGGATAAAACACCAAACAACATCTAAGTCTTTTAATTTGTAAGTAAGTTCAAATTTGTTACAAACCCCATAAACCTCCAAATTCAACAAAGAAGCAAACTGCAAGCAGCCAGGCACAGAAAAATGTCATAAAAAAGGAAAGAAAAAGAAAGAGCAGCAGGTGAAGGCAACATATCAAAAGCTGTAATTTTTTTGGGTTGTTGCTCTTGTATACTGAGATTTATAGCTGAAATGTGACAATGTGGAAGGACCTTGAAAGCCAAGTCCCATACGGACACAGATGCTGAGTGGATATAAATCAACAGTGTTGCATTGCCCTAGACAAGCTGCAGAAATATATCTTGAAGAATCAGTTACCATGGCAGAGCCGCAACATGATGGTTACAAGAGATAATGAACATAGCAGGCAGGACAACATCATGTGTGAAATGGAAAGTGAAAAAGAGAGGTCTTGCTTGCTCGCTTTCTCTCTCCCTGGCTCTGCAAGTGTCTCTGCAACTGGTGGTAACTGCTGATCAAAATGCAAAGTCACTAAGCAATTGAAACCAGATGTTTGGAACTTCAAAAGAGAGAAAACCAGCTGCAAGTGAACATTCATCAATCTCCACTCTTCAGAAGGAAAATTTTGGCAGGTCTTTGAAAGAAGCCGATTGCTGACTGCCTGTTTCCCAATTTTTGAGTTACTAGCCAACTAGTTTGTAAGCACAGTTGCTGTTAAGTTACCTGTTTGACTCAGTAATTAAGATGCTTCATTGCTGATAAGAAAAAGAAACAGCTGGGCAGGGTAAACATAGGCTTAGGCCCTCACTTGAAAATGATTTAAATCAGCTTGTTTTAATCCATCTCTTTATCTTGTTCCCAAGCAAGAGCAATTGGGTTTTCGGATCCAGTTCTGTGATGTGCCTGGGTCCTCCCAGAAAAGGAGGGCTGTATCTTGGCATTGTCAACAACTGGATTTAGCATGCAGATAATGCCATGGGCTATCTCTGCTCCCCAGGTTGCATCAGGGATATAAATGCTTTTTATAACATGGTGAAGCCACAAGATTACAAGCCCAGCTCTGATTACAAAGCTGAATGCCTGTAGATCAATAAAGCTACGAATATTTATGACTTGGCAGTTGAGTTTTAAACATTACAATGTGCAAATGATTAGCCAGACTGGGAAATGACCATAAAGCACCCTGCCTGGAAAAAACATGGGCTGTTGCTGCTGATACTGAAACTGAGTGGGAACATTGCTGTAAAAGAAAATTTGGACCAAAAATAGCACAAGTTGAGGATGCCAAGCCCCTCTTCTTCTCTAATTTGGAGGAATGCAATGGAGGGACTGACACGTACATGGTTGGAGGTACTGTGCAACTGCCTGCCTTTGTGGCAGTGATGCAGCACTGTGATGCACCAGCCAGCAATGGTCTGCAGAGATCTGGCAGCAGAGACTCCTGGGAGCTGCAATGTGGAAAGCAGCAATGTGGGAGCTCCCCAATCACTTCTGCATGGAGATCACTTCTGCATGGAGCCTTGGCTCCTGCTGCTTGCATGAAAACCATGGTGCCTGCTTTTCCTACAACATCCCAAAGATGTTGTAAGATTTAAATTAAGATCTAATCTTGATTTAAAATTTAGATCACCTACAGTGGATTCCCAGTCCAGGGGGAACTTGCCGTTGACTTCAAAGGTGACAAATGATCATTAGTAATTGTGTGTAGGTGTGTTGTGTGTGATTTGCTGTTGTTTGTAATGCATCTCACAGCACACCAGAGGAGCAGAGGGTAGTAAAGACTCTACAAAAGGGTAGAAAAAAAAACATTGTGTCTTTTAATCTTCCTAGAATGGGAGTTCTTACAAGAAAATTCCTTCTACAGATGTGTTTATAAAATGGAAATCTTACCTCTTTATCACTGACATCTGGACACCAGATTCAGATTTAAGCAGATTATTAAAAAATAAAATAGATTTTAAAAAAGGTCAACTAGCCTCTGGCACTGAAAAACTAGCATCAGTCCCAATCAGCCGTTGGGTGCATTTTTAGCTTTTGGGGATGAAACTATGGAGTAATCAATCACTATTGGTCCTCAGAGAGTCAGAGGCACAACCTCTACCGATCCCAGTGAGAGTGCTAGACAATTTTCACCTCTGTATTAAAAACAACGGTGGCTGCAAGGCCACCTGTGAAAAATAGGTGGACAAAAGTGAACAAACTTCCCTGTTCCTGGGAATGTTGTAGAGACATTGTAGAGTTAAATCCCCAACTTTGTCTGCAAAAGGATTTCCACATGGGGTTCAATGAGAGGGACAGTTGTTTTTATAGCAAAGACTTACAGTGGCAGCTCAAGATATCTGTACTGGTCACTGCATGCCTTTTGTGCACCTCTGCTTCTCTTCCTACTTTTTGTCTTGTCCATTTGGATTAAAAAGCCCGAATGTTATCTGACACAGAGACTGGGAAAAGCTCACACAACATCCCGTTGTGAAAGATACGAAAGGAGGGAGTTGGGAACAAATCGTGTATGTGGTTCTGTGTGAAAGCTTGGATTGGGGTCCAAACAATGCTGCTACATCTTGCATCAAGGCCAGTTCTTTTTAAGGCAGAAGTAAAAAGATGAGGTCAGGCCACACTGCAGGTCCTGCCTTCATGGCTGCTATCTCCTTGCCATGGCATGAGTGGGACAGCAGGGAGAGAAATAACCTTACACTTGCAAATTGCTGTTTTAGTGCCCAATGGAGCAGTAGGCAGGGGCTCCTACCTGTCCAGTCACAGCCCAGTACCTCCAGACGCATAACCACCTCTCTGGGTGCACTCGGATGTACTGGGCAAGAACAGGGTCAAACCTCCGGACTTCAGGGATATCGTAGTGGATGTTGCCTTCAAAAAGCTATCAAGAGAGAGAGAGAAAAGGCAGGTGATGTGTGCATCCCACATGCTCTCCACCAGACTTGGTAATTTGGGTCTGGCAGGACACAGCCAGTTTGAAATATTTTAGCTGTCTGAGTCCAGGCCATTGAGTACAGCTAAGCAGATATTGGGCTGTTCCTCCTCAGTTTCAAGAGGAGCAGACAGGCTGTTTCTAAGAAACTTTCACAATCTCTCTTGGCCTCTGCTTTATACCCAGGGGTCGGATTCTGATCCAAGCCATGCAGGGGAAGCCTGGGAAATATCCACTGACTTCACATATAAATAAGATCACATTTGTCCTTTGGCAAATACAGAAGCTACTGCATGTTCTAGGATAGTGTGAATGCTCAGTTTTCCTCACAGTCCAAGTACTGCCACTTTTTAGCTTACATGTACGAACTCAAGCCTGTGCAGAGGGCTATAGATAGCATCAGACCTTCTAAGACTCATTTGTAGGATCAGAAAAAATTAAAACTTACCCAAATTTTCAGAAGCAGATGAGTTTGCATAAAAACAGAACAGGCAGTAGCAGAGAATTCGTTTATTCCTCAACCCCCCTGCAACTCCCAGACCGCTAAGTGGAAAGATTATGGGGAACTCCAGTGACATGGGGAATTTAAGGGTCATGCCAGTATGGCAAAAGGGACTTTAGACATAGCAGATTTTCCAAAGAGAAGTTGTGATTCATCTTCCTCTTCCAGGGGTGCAAGCCACAAGAGCAACACCTTTCCCCTTAAAATGCGTAATTAGTTAGTGCCAAACAGAATTGAAGACAAAACCTTTTGGGCTCTGATCTGCAGGAGCTGGGAGGACCATAAGGTGATGTTCACATCCCCAGGCCTGGTCCACAATAAAATATGAAGGAAAATTGCCATCCCTGGTGCAAGGTGGAACTACAGCCTCTAGCATAGCTGAGAAGCAGGACCAGAGGACACAACCTGGGATTTCATGGTGACAACCCAAACTCCCAGAGTGTCTTTTGGGGAGACACAGCCAGTTTCCCAAGACCACATCAGGCAAACTGAATACAGCCAGAAACACAGCTCGTTTTACAGCTGCTCCAGGCAGTGCCTACCTTGGCTTGCATTGTTTTGGGGTCCTGGATGAAGTCCCAGTCCTTTCCATTCATGCTGTAAGCCACCTTAAACTTCTTCACAAAGGAGCGGGACTCTGTCGTGGTCACGCTGTCCCCTCCACGAGCACCCTGGATAATGACGCCTTTGACATTCTTCGGGACACCAAGGTCCACCTGCAGCCACTCCTCCCCAGGCTGGGCTTGGGGGACACGAGGAAACCAGCCTGAGCGGCTGGAGAGCCATGCTGGGAGACCAGTCGTAGCCTCTGGTGGAAGAGGCTGAAATCTGGGAGTCAGGGATGAGGCCAGAAAGCATTCCCAGCAAGTTGGAGCAGGGCGAATCTGCAGGAGAGGAAAGGGCATGAACAGCTGGGGCAGTTGCCAGGGAGTGCTTGTGGGTTTCCCCGCAGGTTTAAGCACTTCCCCTTTACCTCCAGGGCCTGGGTTTCTGTCCCCCAAGTGCATGCCTTAGAATGGGTGCCTCCCAGTGTCACTGTTACCACCCCAAGCAACCATGACAACTGTGGGGACAGCACCCCAGGACAGGGTGCTGGAGGGATACAGAGGAAGGCTGAGGAGAGGAGGGGGCCCTCACCAGTGATGCGGCAGCCATACAACTCCAGCCTCAGGGCGATGCCGTTGTGCCAGCTCTGGGGACGGATGCGCACGAAGCGTGTGAGCACCGGGCTGTGGATCTTGTTGAGAACCACCTCTGTGGCATCCTCGTTGGCCTGAAATGTCTGCAAGAGAGAGGGGGCATAAACACGGTTACATCTTCTCCAGGCAGAAAGAAATAACCAGATCAGCAGCCAAAATGATCTCAGCAGGGAAAACCAAGGAGAGGCTTTCTGGGAACAGCCAGCCTCCAGCCAGGGCAAGCACCCAGGGGCAAGGAGGGAGTGCTGAGGTGCTGGCAGGACAGCATGGTGGATGGACTCATCTATCAGGCAGGAGACCCAGGAGCTTGCTGCCCCACTGCCTCTCGTAGTAAACTGGACTATCAGGCCACAGATGCTTTAAGCTCACCCCCAAATCTAGGGCCGCTCCAACGCAAAAGGCCAGATGTCCCTGAATGGTGTGTGAGATCTTGCCTCCTCTCCATGGGTAAATGGGCTGATATCCTGAGACATCCTTGCACAGAGCACCACCAGGACACATTGTGTGCAAGCAGCAGCAAGAGCAGGAAGGATGCCTCCTCTGCCTGGGGCAACAAGCTGCTGTCCCAGCCAGCCCCTCGCCCCTGCTTCTTCTACACACATTCAGCCTGCCACACAGAGACAGCTTTTCAGGAGAGTTTATGATCCGACATGATATGAAAAGGCTGCTGCTTTACCAGATGGCTGTAATCAATAACTACCAGATGGATGTTAAATCCACCCCTTCTGCCCATTTTAATAGGCTGGACAAGGACTGGATACTTGTGTTTCTGTTTCAGGCTGCAGATCCATAGCGGGGAAAGAGGAAATACCCAACCTGGGAGTAATTTTCAACCCTTTCTGTGCCCCAGCATAAAGCACTAAAGCTCACAGACCAAGGCTGCAGGCATTGCCTGCTCTCCCTCCAAGCATGCAGTCTCTCAGGACAGGGCTAGAGCATCCTCCAGTCTCAGCCAGGAGCTGCATCCTCACTGAGATGTTGGGTGGGCTCTTCTGCAGGCTCCTACCCTGCATATGCTGTGCTAAGCACAGGAGCTCCCACTAAGTTTATCTCAGAGTGAAGCAGGAGAGTGTAATCTCTGGCACCAATCTGTTGAAGGCAAGAGTCAAACAATCCAGCTGCAAATCCCTGTGATCTGGGACAGAAAAAGGGGTGAGGTATCCTGACCTCTCATCTTCAGTAGCAGTTAAGATGTATTTTATAAGCATCCCACCAGTCTAGGCCTGCAGACAGCACGTTACTGCTCTTCTCCCAGGATCCAGCGCAGAAGGTGTTTGCAGAGAGGGTCAGTGGCCATTTGCAGCACCACAACCAGCTCTGGGCTGCCTCTGCACATCACCATCCAGCCTAGGATGGGGG